GCAACCGGCTTCGGTCCAGGTCCTATCCTCTCCCTCTTCCCTGGATCCAAGAGGGCAGCACATTTCTTACCCGGCCCGCTCCTTTTTCTGGGCTCCATGTTGTTTGCTGACTGGGCCCATGAAGTGCGGGTTATTTCCTCCTGTGGCTACTTGCCCTCAGCCCTGCCTGGGAGCCCCGAAGGCCCTAGGTGGGGCTTAGGCAGTGCTGGGCCTGACCCCTGCTGTCGCGCACTGTTGAAGCCAATGGACTCACGCAGGCGTGAGAGGTGGAAATGCCATCCCAGGGCTCCGATTCCTCCCCCAGCACAGGGCACAATCTACCCCTGTAGACCCGCTACAGTCTGTCCTGTGGCCTGGCGGGATTCGCTGCTGCTGCTGCTTTAAGCGTTTCTCCTTCCTTCTTCATCTCTCGTTCTTTTTCTTCTCTCTCCTCCCGTCCTTCCAGCTCTTCTATTTGTGCGCAGAGGTTTGCCAGCAAATGAACTCCAAGGATTCCCGGGTGTTGGGGAAGGAGATCTGGAACATCTTCTTGGAGAAGAACGCGGTGAGTGCGGGAGCTTGGCAGCATTGCCAGCGGGTGTGGGGCTTTCTTCCCGCAGGGGAAGGCCGGCAAAGTGTGGCTTCGCAGTCTAACGGTCCATGTATTCAGCCTCCCAACGTGGAAAACTTTTAACCAAGGCCTTGGGTCCCCTGGGTTTTTAGCCATCAGCGTAGCTGCACTGAGGCAAACTCCAGAGCAGATGTGCTTTGCACTGTAAACTGCGCTGGTGCAAACTGTGTTGCATTGTTGTAAACAGTGTCTGCGCCGGTGTTTGCCACCAGTGTAGCTATGCTGCTGGAGGAAAAGCCAATATAGACGAGGCCCGGCAGCCTGCTTTAATTGGGATGGGTGGTTTTAGCTGTGGCCTTCTCCGAGAGAAGCGATTTTTCCCCCCTCGTTGCTTAATAGGCACAGTGGTAGCAAATATACTGCTTAATAGGGACTCGTTAGTTGAGTGCCAAGCGGTTAAGATTTAATCAGGTGTTTCAATTGGGGTGAAAGTCTGAGCTCTGGTCTGTTAAATACAGAAGCTGCTGTGCAAAGCGCATGCCGGCGTTACTAGCACTCCCACAGTGTTTATCCTCTGACCTGGTGCCCCTAGAATAATAATTAATGGAGACGTAATTGCATCTTTTTTTCCCTCCTAGCCTCTGAGAATAAAGGTGTCTGAGCAGTTGCTAGCTGACATAGGTAAGTGCGTGTGCACGTGTGCGTGCGTGTGCGTGTGCACGTCTGCGTGTGTGTGCGTGTGTACTCTGAGGCCATGCCTATGCCGTTAGGGGTAGTCGCTGAAGCAGTACAGTGTTTTCAGCAGCTCTAGGTCTCAGCATCAGGGACCACTGGCTGTTGCTGGTCCCACTGTGCAGTGGTTCTTAACCTTGACTGTGGCCTGCACCCCTTTGGGGCTCAGAATAGGTTCTCGCACCCCGCATCGGAAATCGTCGAAGTCGGTCAGTTCTTTAAACTTAGATATCTTTTTTGTTTGTAGGTTCCAGTAATCGTTAAAAAACGTATAATGTTAATAAATACATAGGTGTGATGAAACAAAGTAGTTGTACTTACGTGCCTGTGCTTAATTTGTGTTTTCGATGATTTACCTTCTAAAAAAATCTGGCCCTGTCTCGCACCCCCAGAAAGGGCAGCTCGCACCCCCAGGGGGTGAGTGCACCCCAGGTTAAGACCCACTGCACCAGTGGCTTTGCTTTAAATCAAAGATTCTCTTTTATTAGAGTGCAGAACTCTACATCCTCTGAACTTCCCTGGAGAAGGTCTGTCTGCGTAGGAGAGACCTCACTCCCCCCTTCGTATTGCCCTGCGTTAGGGAGGAAACGGCGTCATGTGGTTCGAGTTGGAGTCAGGACTCCTGGGTTCTTTTCGTGCCTCGCTTGGGGAAGTCGCTTCCCTTGCATGAGCCTCAGTTACAGAGGCCTGAGGACGTTACCATTAATGAGACTCACGGCTGCGCCTAACGGGCCCCACTGTGCACGACCAAAGGGAGAGAGAGTCCCTGCCCCGAAGAGCTTAACATTGAATTAGACAGAGGGCGGGAGGGGAAACTGAGGCACAGAGCAAGGCAGTGACTTGCCCAAGGTGACCCAGCAGGCCAGTGGCAGAGCTGGCAAGAGAAGCCAGGATTCCCAGGTCCCTTTCCGCCGGGCCATGCTGCCTGTCTGTCTTACCATACCTGCCCTGCAGGCGGAGTTGGGAGGCTCAGGCCTGGATTTGCCCCCAACTCCAGCACCCAGGATATCTGCCCCAGTGCAAACGGGCAGAGTTGCGTTTTGCACCAGGGTGGCTTTCTCCTGCTTGGAACCCTGGCGAGCTGTGCTGTTGCTAATCGCGGGGTACAATGGGGCTCCCCCGGCAGCATTCGGGGTGGCAGTGGTGCAGCCACCCTGCCGGCAGGAATCCGGGTGGGAGAGTCCCAGGGTAGACGAGGCCTTAAGTTCGAGGCTGCTAGCGGGGGTGCTGAGCACCCGACGTTGCTGCTGGGGTGTACACCCCTGAAAAGCAGCTGCCCGATTGGGAGGCATGGCGGGATCCTCGGCTGAAACATGCCGTGTCAACACCTGACGCTGCTGGTGCCCTGGGCCATCCATGCGCCCCCGCCCGCCCCCCAGCCGAGCGCAGCTGGTAACGAGCTTCTTTCCTCGTCTCCCATCTGCGGCTCCAGAGTCTCGCCTGCGGAACGGGGAGGACGTCCGAAGCGCCTTCTCCGAGGCTCAGGACGCAGCGATGCCCGAGATCCAGGAGCAGATCCAGGACTACAGGTAAGGCCCTCGCACTGCCTCTGCTCCATGGCCTCGTCTCGGGCAGCTCTTCGATGGGGTGATTGCCTGCGCCACTCAGGCTCGTGGGGCTGATCTGTGGCCCTCTGTCTGTCCGCAGGACGAAGCGCACCATGGGCCTGGGAAGCCTGTATGGAGAAAACGACCTGCTGGATCTGGACGGCGATCCCCAGAAGGAGCGCCAGGTGGCTGAGAAGCAGCTTGCTCAGCTGGGCGACATACTGTGAGTGCCAAGCGGCGAGGCTGGTCCCCGTCCGGCGTGTGATCCAGCCCGAGCCTGGGTCTGGGCTCGCTGACACCAGCAGAGATCGGCAGCGGGGTGCGACCGGTGGGAGCGGAACCCAGCTCAGCCTGGCGCGTGGATCCCAGGGCCGCTCCTGCGACCTTCCGGGCACTATGGCTTTACCACTGAAGTCCAGTTAGGACTCTGTAGTGGTGGGGGGGCCGGTGGAAGGAGCAGGCTCTGAGTATGTGGGTGGGTGGGTGGGAGGTTGAAGGAAGGAATGGGCTCCTGGCATGCGGGGGCAGGTGGAAGCAGCAGGCGTGGGGTTGGGGGGGGCCTGCTCTCTTACACCCTGTCCTGTCCCCTCTTGCCAGTGCTGGTTGGAGTAGTATTGACCCTATATCCCCATTGCAGTCAAAGGAGCTCTGCCGATTTACACCGGCAGAGGATCCGGTCCCGTGCCTTTAATGCGGCTGGTTTGAGTCGGGGCCGTGAAGGGCTAGGTCTGAGACATCGTCCCTCGGGCTCCTGGGCTCGGATCAGGCAGATTAAATGGTGTCTTACGGAGGTGGCCTGGTTTCTCACACCCCTTCCCTCTTTCCCCGCTCTAGGTCGAAATACGAAGAGGACAGGAGGTGAGTGTCTGCCTGGCGCCCAGCAGTCGTGTGCATCCAGATGTGATGGTGCCATACAGATGTGGCCGTGGGGGTGGGGTTCTGGAGAGCTCAGGGAGGGGGCGCGGGGCAATGCTTGGGGAGGGGGTCCTCTCATTGCTAGATCGCTCTTTCCCCTCCCAACGCCAGGGCAGGGCAAACTTGTCATCGGCTGGATGAGCGGCCCGTGGGGAAGCAGCTGGGTAGCGTCTGTCTGGGTTGTAGTGTCCCGCAGGACGGCCCCCTGCTATCGCAGAAGGCCTGGACAGGCCCCGGCGGTCACAGCTAGGAGAAGAAACTGGCTCTTTTCCGGCCAGTTATCCCTGCGGTGGCCGAACGAGGCCAGTCTCCCGACACACCAGTGCTGGTGTTGTGTCCTGGATGATCTGCAGCGTGTCTGTGTTTTCCTCTCTTCCAGCTCCCCCATGGCCTTTGCCCTCAGCACCTACATGAGCCACACGGGAATCCGGATGCGGGAGGCCCGGCCGGCCAGCACCAGCGAGAAGTCCCAGGCCTTCCCAGACAAGGACAAGTGGCTGCCCTTTTTCCCCAAGGCCAAGAAGGTGAGTGGGGCATTGGCCGCGTTCCCTTTTCTGACCGGATTCTTCCCAGTGCCGTCAGCTCCTCAGGCCTGGCCTAGCGCAGTTCTTGTCTCCGCGGCCTCCCCGAGCCCCAGCTCCCCTGCAGAAATGCGAGTGAGCGCCTAATCCCCATCCCTGGGGAGGTGAACTCCAGAAGCTCCCTGTTCATTGAGGAGCCAGCTCAGAATTCCCCTCCAGCCACGGCCCTTGGGCAGGACGCCTCGTCGCTTGCACCTGGGCAAGGCGGGCACAACATGTGGCCTTTTCTGATCTGGCGGCACTTTGTGCCGGGGTACACGACAGCACAGAGCCCCTGGGTGAGGGAAAATCGGGCCCCTTGTGTCTCCTGGCCTCCTCCCCGCCGTGCCTTCTGCTCTGTCCCTTTGCACAATCTGTGTTGGTGCAAGAGCCACCTCCTCTGCTGCCCGGAGCAGCCTCCCAGTATCTCTTCACCTCCATCACCTTCCCCCCCACGCCCTTTCCCCCGTCTCTCTCCCTCCCGCCGTTTGATCCTGGTGCTGGCTGTTTCACTCTGGGATGGGAGTGGGGGTGGTTTGTGTAGCAGACCCTGTGCAAAGTCAGGCTGACGCCAGACCAGTGGGAACTAACGAAAGCGCCTCACACAAACTCAATGTGACCGGCAGCTGCTTGCTCTATCTAACTGGAGGGTGAAGACAAGGCTGAGGGATGTGTTGCTGGTGAATTTAGACACACAGGATTGTGTGCCCATCGGTATAAACAAAGTGACTTGTGTTGTACTGTAATAAACTGGCTGGTTTGTTTATATATGGCTGCCCCCTCCTGGTTGGAATCGGAACTGTTCCACTGTGTCATAGGCCCTATACTTCTAACAACTAATGGAGATTCTCCATTCGCTCCAGTAATAGAGGCTTGGACTTTCAGAGCAGGCGGCTCAGAGTTCTGTCCATGCTGCTCCTGGAAAGTTTGGAGTAGCTGCAGGGTGCAGCATCCTGGTAGACATGTAGCGGAAAGGTACCAAGTACGGTACCCTGGACAAAGGTGGGCCAGTGTCATTGACCCTCATTGCACAGATGTGAGGAGAACTCTAGCCCAGAGTGACTGGTTCAGGACCCCATGGCGAGTCAGTGGGGATTAGAACCCCGTCTCCCAGCCCTGGCCCCTAACCACCGGCCCACCCTGCCTCAGTTTCCTTCCTTGCAAATTAAATGCAGCTACTGCTGCTGCTCCTGCTTTAGCTCATGTTGCCCTGGGAGTTAACATGCCTCCCTTGCCAAGACTGTTTTTCCAACTCTTGTCGTGTGTCTCAGCAGAGCAGCAGCACGAAGAAGGACAAAGACGCGATGGAGGATAAGAAACGCAATCCCATCCTGAAATACATCGGGAAGCCCAAAAGCTCCTCCCAGAGTAGTGAGTATTGGGTCGTGCTGGGGGGCGCTGTGGGTCACAAGTACTGCAGGAGATGCCCGATGGGGAGCTGGGTTCTTTGAGACTCTTGGGCGAAGTGCCAGAGCCAGCAGCCTGCCTGTAGGGGGCGCCACTCCCACATACGATGGAGTAGCCAATGGGCAGTCATCTCCTCTGGCTGGCTGTGTGAGAATCAACATTTTGGGAAGTGTAAGGCATTGTCCGTGCCGGGACTTGAGCCGGGGCGCAGCCGCACGAGTGTCAACCTCTGGCCTAGACGTGACATGCACCAGGGCAACTTACGCTGCTGTCCAACTAGACTGCACTTCACTAGTGTAAATCTTTCTTCCGCTCGGAATTTGCATCCAATCCCGATGTAGGTGATGCCTGAAGAGTCTCTCCGCCTGCCTTCAACCCTTTTCCCCCTCTCCGCTGCATCCCAGCAGGGATTCTCGCGGGAGCTCTCTCCCCTTTTCACTCTCAGGCCTGGTTGACGCTTACAGTTTTGTAGCTGTGGTTATACGAGCATAAACGTGCTTTTGCCCCCGTAGCTTATTTTGCTTGGAGAACCAGTCTAAGCTGTTCCGGCGCAAGCCGCGCTCGTCTCGCTACGATCTGTGTCGGTGCAGCTCTTGCGGCAAAGCTTGGAAGCGTGGATAAGGTCTAAGGGCTTATCCACCACGGAGCTGTTTAGTAACAGCTGTTCCGCACTGACAGGGCCTGCACAGTGTGGAGTTAGGGATTGCTCCTGGGGTAGACAATCCACAACGCTCTAATTACATCTCGCACGCGCCTGCCTGTGCTTGGGGGTGCCGTTTCCGCGCGTCGAAGCAACCCCTACGGAAATCACACGCTCACCCACGTGTGTCGGCCGCTGAAAACCCGTCCCTTCAAACTGCTGAGCACCCACGGGTGGGGTTTTTCAAAAGGGAGCTACCCCAGGGGGAGTCAGGGGGGGCTTCCAAGGGGAGCAGAAATCGCCTGGCGCTGGGTGCGTTTGAAAATCCCATTGGACGTGGTTCGATTTTGGCCAGTAGTTATATGGGAAGGGGGGTGCGGCAGAGGGTGGGTTGCCTAGAAAGCTGATGTGGTTTGTGGGGGGTGCAAAATTGCTCCTGCAAAAAAGGAGGCTGGGCTGAGACCGTCCTAAAAACTTCTTCCACAGGCTGCATCTGCAGTTCTGAGCGTGCGTGTAACAAGCACCATGCACACAGATCTAGCACTGTCCATACCGTCAGAGCCGTGTGTGTGTGTGTGTGTGTGTGTGTGTGTGTGTGTGTGTGTGTGTTCCCCTCGGGGAGCCCGGGAGAGGTGTTTGTGTGTCTCTTCACTGCCTTCGCTTTCCATTTCCTCCTTTGAGTTCTCACGGTGCTGCTCACACGCCCTTCTAACCTCCTTCGTTGTTGAAATGCAGGATTGATTTGACATCTCATTGTTTTTTCCTTTCAGCATTTCATGTCCCCTTGTCCCCTGTGGAAGGTAAAAGGCCTTTTCTTTTCTTTTCTTTTGTGTTCAGCTTTGTTTAATTTTTTTAAGCGGGGCTTTCCCCAAAGGTCTCCCACCTCATTGCGCTGTGGCATCAGGGGCGGGCGGGCGCTTGGGCAGGGCTGGGGAGGGGAGGCTTAGTGGACTGGGACTCAAAAGACCTGGTTTCTAGTTCCAGTTTTGCCACTGGCATATCGGGGGACCTGGGGCAAGTCACGCCCCCTCTCTGTGCCTCAGTTTCCCCATTAGGCAAATGGGGTGTTAATGTACTGACCTGTTTTCTAAAGTTCTTTGAGATCTCCTGATCGAAAGGTGGTGATGGGAGTCTTTCCCTTGACTTCTCTGGGAGCTGGTTCGTTCGTACGTCAAAATCCTTCTGCTCTAAGGCCTTTGTTTCCTTCGCTCCTGGGTGATTTGTTTTCCTGTGCCTTTGAGGCTGTTCAGTTTTCTGCCCTCTTCTCCTTTTCCTCTTGTCCGTTCAGGAATTTAATGGACAGTGGTACCTAGTCGGCGCTCTCCTTTCAGAGACAGTGCTGCTTCATGTGCCCCAGGCTCATGCTAGGGGGCGCTGTGCTGCAGGGAGTGGGGTGGCTGATCCAGTAGGGGGCGCACTTCCCGACCTAGTACCGATCTCGAGACCCTGTCCCAGCGTTAGGGTGCGCTATGCTTGCGGAAGAGGCCCAGCTGCATGCAAGACGTGAGCAATCGCAGAGAGGTTTTTTCACACCGTGCCGTGGCCAAATTCCAGTTGGGCCAGTTAGATCTTAAACTCTCCCTGCGCTTTCCAGTAGACAGGTCGTTCTCCTTCCTTTCCTGCCCTGCGCCGCTGTGCGGCGTGACTCCACGACTGTTACACACTGCGAGAGAAACGTACGCTGAAATGCTCCCTGGGCGGACGGTCCCACTCAAAACAGGCCACTGTGTAGGGCTCAGTTTCATCTTAGGGCCTGAAATCTCAGTCCCACGCGGCCCATGTAAGCCTTTTCTCTGCTGCCCAAGCAGTGGGCGTAACTCACTTATCTCCACTTCGAGGCCCCTTTTCACTGCCACGGCCATGCAAAGGGGCCGTGGTGCAGGGAAGATTCAGGCCAACGCTTGTGTAGTGGGATGGGGTCTTTTGGGGTGGAAGGCACCGGTCTAGCTAAGTGTCCAGATGCCCTAGGACATGAGTGCCGTAGAAATGCCCCCTGCATTCCTAGAGGGAGGCAGCAGGTTGGCTGAGGGAAGAAGCGCTCTCTCTGTTGGATAACAAGGCTGTTAACGTTTGCACATTAATAAATAAATGGAGATATCCCATCTCCTAGAACTGGAATGGACCTTGAAAGGTCATTGAGTCCAGCCCCCTGCCTTCTCTAGCAGGACCAAGTACTGATTTTGCCCCAGATCCCTAAGTGGCCCCCTCAAGGATTGAACTCACAACCCTGGGTTTAGTAGGCCAATGCTCAAACCACTGAGCTATCCCTCCCCCTGGGACTGGACTCTGGAGAACCTTTTAAGCCGGGGAGGGGGGCGAACAGAATCTGCAATGGATAACATCAGGAGCAATGTGGAGAGAAGTGGGTGCCTAAGACACCTCCAGGCCTTCGGGGGAGCCCACCCCATGCTCCCGCCTGGCCTGATATCATACGCCGCGCACCTCCCACTAGATCGTAGTTCTCTAGGTCGTAGATCTGTTCTCCCGTGCAAGCCCCTGCAGGAGTAGCCATCCCCAGGCGACAACCTGGCCTGGAGGAGACGCCCCGGTGTGAGAGGCTGGGTGGATGCTCTTAATTCAGATGGGAACAAGCTGAAGCTAAACCGAAATAAGAGCGTCCACACACCGATTTGCACTAGGTGGACTAAATCGGTGCAGGTTTCCTGTGTAGATGAGCTGCTCGGCCTTCCTCCTGCTGTGTGATTTAATCTGCAGCCTGGCCGCTGAGTGGGCTGGTTCTGCAGGGAACCGCAGTCGAACGTTGGGAGAAGGATGAGTCTTTTGGGGGACCCTCCCGAACCAGGGGTGTCCTGAAAACTCCCCATAACTGGTTTAGCGCCAGGCCGCCCGGGTGTACTGCAGCTTTGTAGCCACTACGCATCACGGGGCTGCACTGATTTTGGACCCCGCTGTCGAGTGCCTCCAGCTGGCGGTTTTTCATACGCCGTCTGCACAGAGGCAGGGGGTGGTAGCTGGGGGCTGGTGGCAGCAGGGAGGGGGGAAGGCCAGGGAGTATGGGCTCCAACTAGAGACGGGAGCTGCCCTGCCTCCCAGAACCCCAAAAGCGCCCCCCCCACACCAGCCATCTCCAACCCATACGAGACCAGCCAGACCCAAGAGGGTCAAACTGCTGGGGTCGGGCTCACCACTGCTAGGATGTATTTAGCCTCTGGGGGGCTACGTAATGGGCTGCAGGTTAACGATTTAGCCATCAATACCTATGTCTCATGTCTGTCCTCCTGTCCCTGACTCCCCCGTCCTACCAGTCAAACCCGGCAACGTGAGGAACATCATCCAGCACTTTGAAAACAACCAGCATTGCGAGTCCCAGGAGCCTGGCACGCAGCGCCTCTCCACCGGCAGCTTCCCTGAAGAGCTGCTGGACTCGGACAGGTAGGGCTGCTGGGGGGTGGGGTTCTAGATTAATGAGATGGGTTCTAGCTCCC